GGATAAGCGCAGCGGCCCGCGATCTTAGTCGTTAAGCAACTTTCACTAGGGTCGGTCACGGGATGGGTGACCAAACAATTATTATCTCGAGTTACTCCGTGCTTCGGAAGGCCCGTTAAGCCGTTGGTCCCGGCTGCATTTGCAGTCATTAATACTCTCCAATCTGCATTGGGCCAGCGTGGAGGGTCATGGCCCATCCTCCTTAACCATCCATAAGGAAGGCTTGAGCCCCTGAAGTGGGGACGTAAAAGGGCTCAGCAAGGGTTGTCTTTTTCTCCCTGTTTTATTTCACACAGAGAAGTCTCTGAAAAGTGACTTCATTAGAATATGAAGTCACTTTCCATTACAATATTAGAAAGTAAATACAATAGAGTTAAAATATCTAACACCATGCCTTTTTGTCATTCAGTTATTCCTTAACGGTATAATATCCTTTACTTTGGAGACAATTTTCAATATGACTTTTAAAATAATTCATTGGCAAATCTAGTACATCACTGGGGATCTTGTTAAAGTATTGTATACCTTGACCCATGAAAGAACCTAATACCTTCTGTAACCTGTAAGAAGACATTACTAATAAACCCTCTTGACCCAACAGCGTATTCAAAAGTCTACCACGCCCATCTAAAAAAAACTCAAGAAAAATCAAAAGAAAATTCACTAAACGTTCCTAAAGACGTACTAATCTTGACTGAATCGATTAATTACCCGAATCAATCAAGATTAAGCCAAAAAAATTATACTAGATAAAAAAACAACCTTTTCAGGATCAGCAGAGGTCTCGAATACCACCGCGCCGAACTAAAGGTAGGCCACGGACGCCACACAGGTACCCCAGACCACCGCTGATGATAACGTTACGCCGAAATTTCAGTACCATTCTACGTATCTCAAATTGTTTAACCGTTATCGTGTTATCAGTGATAATTTGTTACGCGTTCGAACGCATTGATAATATATATTGTGATTTTAATTATTACATGTATCATTTTTATATGTTATTACATAGTATAAATGGACTATGCCTCTCCGAAACTACTCACCAAATCGCCGACCCACCTCAAGACTGCTGGAAGACATTGCCATTCCCTTGAGCTGATGTTGGCCCACTTCTGTCGTCACCACAACGTCCTCAACGGAACTTCGCCGTCGACCCACTTCACTGGACCACCTTTACCATTAACACACTCCTTACACTTTACTACTCACCTCAGACACCTCTTTTGTATTATTTCTATACCATTTTTCGTTTTTATCAATAAATCATTTAATTAGACTTAACCTTTTTTAATTTTGTAGTCAGTTTTTCTTCGTTTCATAACAACTTAATAAAAGTTTATATAGTGAATGTCAGCGTGTAATAAATAAATAATAGGTACATTTTGTTTTTCTCTGTATCATAGTTACAATTTTGTCTCATAGTTAAGTATAAATAAGGAAACAAAAAGAAAGCAGTTTACTCGTATTTATAAAATACCTTGTGACATAGGTATTTGTTTTCTTTGAACTATGAAAAACAATGTTATTTATAGGTAGGTAATATTAGACCTTATTTAAGTATGAGAAAATTTTAAATTAATACAGTTGTATAGATTTTTTCTAACATGTTATACCTTCAACTTATTCTTATGAAGTTGAATTCAGAATTCAGTTGTGTGATACAAATTTATTATGACGACTTTTGTATTTAAAATCTTGTTTCATTTAATTTTGTTATTCTAATAGTAGATATGTATAACAAAGCTTGATTTCTACTCACATAAGAAATGGAACTCAAAGTAAACAACCTTGCTATAGAAAAGTGAAAAACCGCTCTTATACATATACATACTGAAAAGTCTAATACAGCTCGTGACAAAAAATGCAAGAACTTTGTAACTATTTATGTTATATTCCAGAATGTCGTAATACTAAGAGTACCTACTCTTCAAAGTCGTTTCATTCTTGACTGAGTGGTCGTGGTCGTAGATGGAAAACAGTTTGAGTGGCAAGTTTTGTTAGAAGGTGTCATTCTTGTTAGACCGCCTATCTGGTACACCTATGGACTGGGCAGTTTATTCCCAACTAACAAAAATATGTCGTATAGTAGTCGCGGCAACGAAAATTATTCAGCATTTTGGCTCCTAATAGAAGTCGTATAAACGTAATGAAAACGTTTATACAACGCGATTTGGGCCCATTTTATTCAGCAATTCAGTCACATAGACATCGTATAAAGGTAACTTATTCAGGTAAATCGTCACGTAATTATCGCTGGAGTGACTGTTACAAGCTTATGTTGCGCTATAACTGTAACTTATATGACTTTTATATGACATGATTGTCTTATTGAAGCGACCTGGGATACAAAACAGCTGAAAACATTTATAGTAAATAAAATAAGCAAGTGCTTCGACGTGTTGTGTTTTAAAAATTATAATTCATCGGTTAGTACAATTTATTTAGCAGACATGTTAATTTGTAGGTTGCCCCAAATGTAGGTTCGTAAACTCACGCATAGGGTTGTAAATTATTGCGAAGGTAAGTTTTCTGAGGAAATATACTAGGTTATATCATAAATATTTAACGCCCCCCTTTAATTCTTAGTAATATGAATATAATAACAAATATTTTTATATCAATATTATTTTTGTACACCATTTTTACTGCTGACAGGCGGTATAATAGCTTCTTATACGGCAAATTAGCAGTATGAGCGCCATGATACCACTCTGATTATAGTTTTTTACACAAAACAATCTGATCGGTGTAATGGATACAATTATACGACATTTAAGGCTTGTAATAGTCGTATAAATGCGACGTATACTACATAATAGTAGTATAAAAGCAACAATGTTGCTTTTACTCGACTGAGTCAACCTTGCCATAAGAAAGCTATATAATATACTTTTACTCGACGAAATAGTAACATAAGCGTCGTATACTAGCGACTTATTCAGCAAAATATTATATGACACTTAAATCATATAAGGATGCTGACTAAACGTTTACTCAGCATCATTATGTGATCGAAATGCTGAATAACTCAAAAGCTATATAAGATGCTTTTATACGATACGTGCTGAATAATTCACACTTACTCGACTTTTATAACACCGAAAAGCTGAATAAACTTTACCTTATATGACTAATTTGCTAGTTGGGTTGTCGCCTTTATTTGATCCTTCCATCTCATCAGATATCTACCGCGCTCTGGTCTGGTCTGCCTTCAACTTTTCCTTGTAAGCGGTCCATTGATGCCTCGTGATACATGGCCAAAGAAAGTTATATTGCGTCTTGTGCTATAGAAGACCAACGTTGTGTGATATAGAGTTCGTTCAGTATAAACACGTGTTTGCGGAACTTTGTCCACGACACCTCAAACATCCTTTTTCAGCACCGCATCTCTAAAGCGTTTATTTTATTTTTCTCTCTTTCACGCAAATTCTACGTTCCCCATGTGTACAAAAAAATAGAAAATACTAGATCTTCTAGTCTAGATAGCTGATGCTTGGAACACCTGCATGAGCAGCATGTCATCGAGTAATGTTATCACCAGCCTTTTTACGTCCCCACTGCAGGGGCTCAGGCCTTCCTTATGGATGGTTAAGGAGGATGGGCCATGACCCTCCACGCTGGCCCAATGCGGATTGGAGGGTATTAACGACTGCAAATGCAGCCGGGACCAACGGCTTAACGTGCCTTCCGAAGCACGGAGTAGCTCGAGATAATAATTTTTTGGTCACCCATCCCGTGACCGACCCTTGCGAAAGTTGCTTAACGACTACGATCGCGGGCCGCGGCGCTTAACCACTACGCCACCGAGCTACTGAGTAATGTTATGTCTTACCGAAATGTCACAAATATCGTATAGGCGCATCCGAGAAAAGTGACATTTGAGTGTAGATAAAACGTTCTCGGATTATTTAATTATTAATTATTTTTCGGAGTGCGGACGAGCAGAGGTAGCATTCATCTAATCTTTTAATAAAACATTGACCGATCTATGAAAGTGAGGAACAGAAATCATATTTATGTAGCTTTTTTTGAATATATTTCTTTAAATTTAATAACATTATTCATATTTTGATTCGACAATTAAAAAATGTCTGCATAAGTGCCTTATCGACTTAAAAGTAACAAAATCATTTTTTAATTCTTCATTAAGTTATCTCAATCCATTGTCAACTGTAAACTCATGAAAATGTGTAACTTTTTTCCACTAAACTACCCCATTCAACGCTAAACCCTATTAGCTAATATTGAGTAAGTACCTTAATTGTCAATCAATTAGATGAAGCCATAATTTTAAGAGCCGTTTTTGTATGCTTTGTAAACATAGGTTAAATAAATATTACATAGGTACTATAACAGCTTAAACCGGATTCCGGTTTCTTAACAGTATTAAAAGAGGAATATGAACTTTCGTTCTACAAATTACCCTAGCTGTTACATCCAATTATAAACCTAATTTAGATACTGTTTATTATATGTAGAAAACACTACCCTTTGAGTTGTAATTATAAATAATTAATTATCTTGAATGACTTAATTGTAAAACAGATGCACAATACTAATCAAAGTTGTAATTGCAACGAGTTTAAAACGCATTCCGGTTAATAAAAGTGAAACATGGCTCCGATCGGCCGGATACGGCTCTAGAAACTGCAACGCTCCGTGAAAAACAATGCGAATTTATGCCACTCGTTGACGCTCGAGTAAATTTATTACTTATTATTCAGAAGACACAATCGGTATCGTTTTATGCTATTAATAGTTTTGATTGATTTACACGGTCGCTATGATTTTCCTGGCCATCACAAAATAGATGGTAAATTAGATTATCGTGCAGGCGACCGCAGGCGCCTCCCCGGCTGCATTAACAGGCCGGTAGTGGTGCGGTACGCATCCTGTAATGTTACTCGCCATCTTTGTTTAACACGCGTAATTAGTGAAGTTATCGGTAACGCATCACTTTTACGCCAGTGCAACCGCGCACGCCGCACGAGCGCGACATGAATCTGTTCCCGCAGCCGCGTGACGAGCGCGTGCCTATCGCTCGTATAGAAATAGTACAACCGACCGCGGACGATTGCTGCGACCCTCCACCTCCTGAAGGAAACGTGAAACACCTAAATTACCGACTCCTCAACGAGAACGTGCGAGCTTACACACCAACCGGAGATATCAACACGTCCCCGAGCAAAGGAAAAATTGTGTCGAGGTTCGACGTATGTTCCGCCATTTCGCCTCCCCGTTCCAAAATCTTGGAGCTGTTAAGGCCCGAAGATCCAGGACGTGAAACGCTGGAGGCGATAGTTCGACCGGCGTCCCGAAGGGGCCTCACTCGTCCGTTCGACGATGATACGAGACGTTTCTTGCAACGAGCACTATTGTCGCCAAGTCCACAAGGCTTATCCGCGGCTCCAACGCCCGAACCTACGGTCGAGGACCCGCCTAGTGAAGTCGTGATTGAAAACCCTCGACTGACCAGCACGCCGAGGGCGGAATTGAAACGGGAGCGGTCACTAGCTGACGAATTGAGGGAAGCAGAGGAGGACGAGCGATCGGGAGCTATCAGGAGGGATATTTGGAGTGAATTGAGAAAAGGTGGAGTAAAAGAGTGGGTGGAGCGAGAGCGGTTGGGGAAACTGGCGCTGTCCGTGGAGGAGGACGAGGACGAGGAGCACGGGGGTCTGTATGCGGCGGCGCGGAAGCTGGACGCGCTGCTGGCGGAGTCGCGTGCGCTGCACCGCGAACTGGCGGGCATACAGCGGGACATGCAGGTGCTGGCTCGCCGCGCGGCGTCCCGCGACCCATGACGCGTTGGTACCGTTGATGGCACGTGCCGACACGCACCACGCACGCTCTATTTAACCACTGTTTGCACTTTATTTACATTCACTCTAATGTCCTTTTTACTTTTGTATGCAAACTTAGAGATTGAAGGATTATTAATTTTCTTAAAAAAGATATAACTTTGCATTTGAATCAGATTCAACTGACCGGTTACTAGTTTTGCACATAACAATTTACATGTAAAGGCATGCACTTTCGCCAATGTCTTCAACTATTGCCGTTATACTTGTATATTGCCAATTACTTTATCATACACCAGTGGCATAAAAACCTAATTTCAGACATAGAAAATTAGGCCCCTGAATAAAACTTCCACATGATTTACTCCAAGCATTGTTTGGTGAGTTTATATCATTCTTATGGACGCAACGCCGGGACAGGGATTTTATTTTAAGAATATAAAGAAATTGAAATATAGTTGAATTCCTTTGTTTTATAATATTTAAACTGAAATATTTATTTGTATTTTTAATCCGACACTTTTACAAAAATAACATTCCACATTTTTGCCAATCAACTAAATATTTTTAAATGGTATGTTAATTATTTACAATAATTACAACCCAATTAGTGCTAACTACAAAATTACTCTGCATTATATTTTTTCCCCGAGTACTCTATTTCATAATATTAACTAAATATAACAATTTCAATGTGCCATTAGGTAATCGTTGATCATTAAACAATGTAAAGAAATCAAAACAATCAAACTAAAACGTGTTTAGAACTCTCTAGAAAGACATGCCGATCATTACTGGAAAACTAATGAGTTTATGCTTTACAAAATACTAGCAAAAAGTAAACTATTTAATAATTCGTTCATGCAATTTATTGGTCCTTTAAAATAAAGGAAAGTAATATTCTTCGCTCTAAATTCTGGTCTTAAAATTTGGAAATATGTATTTCCTTTTCTCTATTTTATGGTTATAATCTGTTTTAGTGACCGATCCCAAGTTTCATTGACACTTATTATGTTTTTTAATTCCGGAAAGCTAGACTCCGACAAATCGCTCATATTACAATTATTGATGAAACTACTTGATTATAATATTATTTAATGCATACACACATACATGCATATTTTCAGACTGATCGCCGCCCTGAAGTAAAACTAACTACCTAACTAACAAAATGTGATATTCGGAAAGCACTCAAACGTCGGGTTCAATTCAACGAAACTTAATATTAAATATATTTGAGTCAAAAGTAGGTAATATTATGTAGAGACCATGATGTCATTACTGATTTCCCTAATTAGCACTAGTATATTTGTATAGTAATAAATTTATTTACTGAAAATGTGTAAAATATCTTAAAGAGATAAAACCACGCATTTCTAAACAATAATTAGGTACTTAAAAAATACTTACTTATTCAATTAATAACAAATCATAAGTAATTATTAATTAGGTTATCAGAAACAATACAAACTTAGTCTGGGGTACTGGTTACTAATGATTGTTTATATTAATATTGTAAAGAGATACAATTTGATTGTATGTTTGCGTTGCATAGGCTCCAAAACTACTGAACCTATATTAAAAATTCTTTCATCTTAAGTGCACTCATTTAAATTACGTAAATAATAGCCTTTGTCATTACATGGGCTATTATTATTTACCATTTCAGACTTGACTGCCAAATATGTATGTGCCAATTAAAATGTTGGACAATAATAATTCCAATGCGCTAGAGTCGTTCGATCGTGAATTCTTACTTAGGGCTGTCGATTCTCAATCAACGGTAGCAATTAAGTTCAATGGAAGATAACAACTACTTGACCTCTACTAAAATGTTGTTTCAATTTTGTAAATAAATAAGATAAAAGAAGTCAACTCATAATACACGAGTATAAATATATTTTTCGATAACTTTTCCTAATTTGTCTTAACGATATTATTACAGTAACTAAGGAACATCGTTAAGACATACCAAAATTAAAAATAAGTATTTTTATTTTTATTTAGTGGAGACAGAATCAACAACAGTATAATGTTTTTTAAACTATTTAAATACCTGCCAGTTGTATATAGGTTTATTTTTTTAATTCTAAAATTTTAAAAGATATATGTTTTAAAAACATATTAACATCTTCACTGGGTGAGAAAAGACAAACGACTTTCGCTAAGTGCAGCACCCAAAATAGTGTTTCTTCCCTTCTTGCAGAAACTCATTAATTCTTAATTTCTATGAGTATGAATTAGACAAATATATTCAAATGTTCCACAATTAAAATAAGACTCGTTTGCATGAAACAAAAATGGAGAATGGTTAGGTCCCTAACATAATAAAAATTAACATTAGTTGCGTTTAGAGATGTTTTCAATCCCCTTTAAAGTCGTATCCGCAAGAAATGGAAGCGCGCGGTTATGCAACATTTCATATAAATATAGACACTTAATAACAAAATATGATCAGCTTCTGTAAATGTGTGTCTGTCTTTTTTATTGTATTCAATAAAATTCCTTCATTAATTTCGCTACTAGAAATAATTAAATTCTTAAATACTTTCTATAATATGTGAGGCACCTGAATCAAAACTAAATAAAATTTAATGTCATTGAAGTTTATTTGGGTGCATAATCAGTACATCCAAAATCAGTAATACTAAAACAATATTGCCTGGAAAAGATTGCTGTTTATCGATAACACTGATCCTCTTACTTCTTGATAATGTATCCTAAAGTTTGTAATAAAGCGTATATAATTGCTACGCAAATAAAATTTAAACTTTAATTTAGCGATTATGTCAAATTTATGCCAAGAAAATAAAGACATTCTGAAAAAGTAACTTTTCTATAGATCTTATATTGTCGAAGATGATCATAAGAATCAAATGCTCGTAGTCTTCTTAAATACTTACAATAGGTAAATATTCCGAAGGATTGTCAACCCTACCTACTCTAGACAAGCCACGTAAAAACTAACGAATTAGTGTACTGCTTTCATTGGTTACTTTCACTTTATTGTTTATTAATAATTTGCACTCGTCTACACATTTAGCACACAAATACAATCTCTATACATGAGAAAAAAAATTACAATCGTACAATTTAACATTTTTATTTTAGCATTAACACCTGCGACCTGCCATCCAGGTGGAGTTAACTGCAAAAACTTCATTTATTACTGCTCGTACTATAAAGTATTTTGTTTTACTATGTTTTTTTATTGTAAGAACTTTGTAAATCCTTTCATCGTTTTCCATTACGTAAACTACATTGTATTATAAATGTGATATACTAAATACATATATGTATACCTATTAACTGTATCGGTTTACTTGCAGACGCAGTGTGCGCGCGCATGTCGGTGCGCGGACGCAGCGCGCGCGCTGGTGGCGGAATCGCGGGCGCTTCGGTACCTCGACGATGTGGTGGCGCTGTTACGTGGTGATATTAAGGCGGCAACTACCGCGCGCAAGTGGCCCTTCGCCCTGGGCATGCGGCATCCTGATCGCAACTACATAGTTTAACTGTTGGTAAGACGACATCAATTCATTACCTACGACTGTTTAAGATATTTAGGGGTTCAAACATTATTTACTTTTAAGAGAAGGAGTCTTAAAGTTCTTACGTTAGATCACCAAGCTGAAGACCAGAGTGCAGACTCCGCAAACTAAAACGCGATTATCGAACTTTTATCGTTCAGTTTCGTGTCATGACATAATCGGGAATAACATCTAAAATCATATAATTATAATATCAACATCGCCTGAATAAGTTTTCGCAGTAGATCCCCAGTGTTGGCTATCCGTGACTCCCAAAACATGTAAAATTGTTAAGTTGCTGAATTATTAGTATCATTTAATTTTTGTGATCTCTATGTAAAACTCGTGTATTATTTAAAGCCAATCCAAGATAAAAAAAAAACTGCTGACTATTTTGTCCAGTCAGTCTACAATGTAGTCTGTTAAAAAAACAGTAATGAACTGGATGTCGAGCGACCACAAAGTATAGAGGTTTAATTAAATTTTAAGCTTCAAAAGGTATTGAACCTCTATGCTGTCGCTCATCGTCGAGTTCGAGGCTGATTTTACTACAGAATAGAAAAGCAGAAGGCTAAGAGCGTCTTTTCTTCGAACTAATGAACAATCTCCAAATATCTTGTTCATTCTGAATTATCAAGGAATTCTGTTCCCGACTTATCGTGTAATAAAATTGTTAAAATTCAACAAACATTGCACAGTGTTTTGGCAACAAGCTGCCAGTGGTCGCAGCGGCCGCATCGCTCTTGCGATCATATTTCTAATTACCAAGTCACGCAATGAATTCCGTCGATGCACTTGATGTACTAACGAATAATTGATTACAACATAAAGTGACTGACCGTTTTGTGAAAAGAAAAACTGACTGAAACTAGTCGACTGTAAATAATAAAAACTGCGATGTTTCTCTCTCTTTTTGTATATATTATGATCTTAAAATTCTTTTTTAAATAAGACAAATTAAGTTATTTAACGACATTACTATTCTTAATGAAAAATATTTAAAAAATCCACTTGGCCCCTGGCACCCTGAGATGGGATTCCAACCCATGATCTTTCGCAATGTCCTGGGTGGAGCAGTCGCTACCTATCAGTCACAATGCTATACTGGAAAAGATCATCTTTTGGCAAAATGAGTATTGCAAAAGCATTAAAGCCGTATGTGGTGTAATTCCATTGTTCACATAAATTTTTAATGATGTTATTTGTAATTTTTTCTTGATATTTTTGCCGGTTCTTCTCGGTACAATGTCTCCCGCCATAGACTTACGGACCGATGGCATAGTGTTTCGACTTTCACGAGTGCTTTATAACAAGCTAGACCCAATAAATAACTTTGATTTAATTTGATTTGATTGATGATGCTACCAGAACGTTAATAATGCAAACTGTTGAGATAATACTTAAACAACTGCACTTATAAAAAAACGTACAAATACCAAGCTAAAATTAATGTTACTTTATATACCGGATCAA